TTTGTTGGATCTGAAGAATTCAAGTCAGCAGGGCCTGATGAATTTCATCCCAGGGTACGGAAGGAACTGGTAGAGGTGATCTCAAACCCTTTGGCTAATATATTTATGAAGCTATGGGAGATGGGGAAAGTATCACAGGTCTGAAAAAGGACTATATAGTACCTTCTTTAAAAAAGGCAAAAATGGGGACCCAGAGAACTACAGATTGGTTAGCCACACCTCAATACCAGGGAAGTTACTGAGCATATCATAAGGAAGGCCATTTGCAAGCACCTGCAGAAGGAAAAGTTGATCACAAGCATTCAGCATGTATTACAGATCATGTCAAACAAACTTGATCTCCTTCAACAAAGTAACTACTTGAGTCAATGAAGCGAATGCTGTAGATATAGTATCTGGACTTCAGCATGACCTTCTCATAAACAAATTGCAGAAATGTGGGCTGGACAAAACTACTGTAAGATGGATAGATAACTGGTTAAATAGGCACAAGCAAAGGGTAATTACAAATGGATCCATGTCAGAATAGAAGAAGGCCTCGAATGGAGTCCCACAGAGGTCTGTCTTAGGCCTGGCACTGTTCAACATATTTATTAACAATTTGGATGCTGCCACAGAAAGCTTCTTGAGCAAGTTTGAAGACAGCATGAAACTGGGAAGGACTGCAAACATGTTGGAGAACAGGAGCACAATTCAGAAGGATCTTGACAGATTGAAAAGATGGGCTGGAGCTAACAGGATGAAATTCAATGCTGACAAATGCAAGGTGCTACACCTCAGGAGGAATAATCAAAAATACAAAATACAAAGTGGGTAACACCTGGATGGCAATGTTTAACTACTTTCCTAGTGAGAAAATTATTTTTAATATCTAGCCTAAAGTTTTCCCTCCTGCAATTTGAGACTATTGCTCCTAGTCCTGACCCCATGCAGTCACAGAAAATAGTTTATCACCATCCTCTGATAACAGTCTTCAAATACATAAAGGGTGGTTATCAAATCCCCGCTCAGTCTTCCCTTCTCCAGACTAAATATTTGGTGGGTTATTTGATTCTACTGTGGGATTCTGTGAGGGCAAAAGCAGTTCAAGTACTTTACTACAGTTATCAACTTATATTTGAGGAGAAGACTGTTACCCAACACCTGAACCTGAAAAGTGTGGAGTCAACCTACATGAAGGGTCAGCTTCAAAATGGAACAATGTAGCATGGATGATGTAATTCTGTAATTGTTGCCAGTGCTCCCAATACAATTATGCTACAACCCTCCTGTTACCAATATTTTGCAATGACATGTGCCCCGTCCCCTGTTTACTTTCTTATTCCAAGTTACTAAAACCACCTAGTTTTATGCATGTGCTTTCTTTTTTATGAGAATACAACTGTCATTTAATTTTATAATACAATAAAAAAGAATATGCACACTGGAAGATGTTGATTCACACAGTCTGAAAGGATAAAGTCCCAGGACAAAGTCGAATTATTCAGACATCCATGTCTGTTGCCCTGGGACAAACCCTAAAAAGGTTCATGGGATAAGAAGTGCTAACAGTTTGTCCTGGGACATTGAGAAGTGCATCTGAACACTTGCCCCAGGATTACAATATTGACTCACTGGCAGAAAAGTGGCAGCCCATTCAGCCACTCATTAAATCATGATGGGAAAGGTGATGTGTGTACACACCAATCCCAAGACACTTGTCTTCTCTTCTGAGACAAACAAGGCGATAAAAACAGCCATTAATACACATTTGGGAAAGCAAGAGTAAGGACTGAAAAACGGCTTGGACAATGTTTACCAGGAGGGTACGTAAAAGATTGGCAATGATTTCACCTCAGGAAGAGTCAAAAAGAGCAGTGGCCTTTGGTCCATATTGCGCAACAGGGGTGGAGAGGGAGAGGCTCCCTTAATTGTGATTTGGACCCTATTGTAAGTATGTGGGCCATTCAGACTGTCCTTTAAGCAGCTCTGGCACTGCAGATGAGGAAAGGAGATCTGAGACATTATTTTTCTTTGTGGGCAAAGTAGAGGATCTGAACATCATACTCAGCCCAACTTTCCTATAATTTTATCTTCATGATGTGGAAGAAGAGAGAATCTATTTGGACTCTTCTCAGTAATCTAAAATCTTAGAAAATTACGAGTTGGAAGGGAACTCAGTAGGTCATGTAGTCCAACCCTCGGCTCAAAGCAGGACCATCCCCAACCATATCATCCCAGCCAAGGCTTTGTCTACCCAGGGCTTAAAAATCTCTAGGGATGGTGATTCCATAACTTCTCTGGGTAGCCTGGTCCAGTGCTTTACTACCCTCCTCATGAGAGAGTTTTCCCTCATATCTAGCCCCAACTTCCCTTGCTGCAACTTGCTCCTTGCTCTGTTATCGGTCACCGCTGAGAATGTCTAGCTCCATCCTCTTTGGAACCACCTTTCAGGTATTAAATCCCACCTCAGTCTTCTCTTCTCCAAACTAAGTAAGCCTAGTTCCCTCAGCCTCTCCGTATAAGTCACGTCCCCCAGACTTCTAACCATTTTTGTGGCCCTCTGCTGGACTCTTTCCAATTTGTCCACACCCTTTTTGTAGTGGGGCCCAAAACTGGACACAGTACTCTAGATGTGGCCTCACCAGTGCCAAAGAGGGATATAACATGAATTCCTCACAAAGATTCCTTCATGTGGACGGAGGTATACTAGTACAGCAAAAGCTCTGTTATCTGGAACCCATGGTAAATGGTGTGTGCCAGATAACCAAATGTGCTGGTTATCTGAGAGGTGTCTTTGCCTAGTTGGGCAAAGATGCCGCCCACCACGTCCACATCTCAGATTAATCATGTCGCCCCTCCCATGGTGTCAGTGTGCTGGGGGAAAGGGAGTGGGGGCTCCGCGCAGGCTGTGGGATTCCACAAAACCGAAGTCCCATTTCCAGTTTCCTTTTTGCTACGTCGACCGGTGTCAACCAGCATGCTGGTTAATAGAGCGTGCCGGTTAATGAAGTGCTGGTTAACGCGGCTTTTACTGTATAAAGATATCTTAGTACAGCTTGTTTCCTTTCCTGTACGGGAACAGTACAGCCATATACAACACATACCTTTTACCTGAAAATTAGCAGTCATCCCCCCTCTCCCCTGCAAAATTGGTTGCATATTTTAAGTAGGGAAGCTGTTTTCTTCCCTGAAACAGAAGCACTCCTGGAGACACTGTGCATGCCAGGCAGCTAGCAAAATGACTGTTGCTTGTGTCTGCTCAGCAAACTGAAGGGCCAGGGTCTTATGTTAATCCTCTCAGTCATAACTTATTAGCTAAGCAATGCAGCTTGTCCCCAAAGCAGCAAGTTGGTACTGTCTTAATGAGGCTTGTCATGTGGAAACAACATTTTATTTACAGGAACTTATATAAAGAATTATTTACAGTAAAGAATTAAGTCTTGCTACTACCCTTTGCAAGGGTCTCGGGCCTAACCTTGTGTGACATAAATTAAGCACTCCTGGAAATGTAAAGTACCTAGG